CTTCTTCTTCTTCTTCTTCTTCTTCTTCTTCTTCTTCTTCTTCTTCTTCTTCTTCTTCTTCTTCTTCTTCTTCTTCTTCTGAATTGACATCATCAGATCATTTGATTTCACAATTAAGTCTAAATGATGCCAAAGAAATACTTTGTGAACACTTAAAAAACCAAGAAAAACAATTGTTTTCCAGTTTTAAAACAGTTGAATCGTGGAAAGATTATTTTGAGAAATATAAAGGAACAACTGAAAAAGAGGTTAAAGTACGAGACGAGGAGATTAAAAGAAGTCATCAAGAAATTGAATATCTGAAGAAAATTATTGCTAGATTGGAAATAGAAAATAACAATCTGAAAAATTACAATGTAATTGGTAATTACAATTAATTATAATGATAATGATGATCATGGTAATGATAATATTAAAATTAAATTAAAATACGAAGCTGGAGATATTATTATATGATGTTAGTTGATTATAAAAAACCAAATTGCAATACACAGTGAATCTCGATTTAGCGGACCTCGATTTAGCGGATAATAAACCTTAATAAAAACCTTCTCGATATATCGGATATCTCGGTTTAACGGATTTTTGGATAATTGCCCAAACTAAATCGAGATTCACTGTGTTGCAAATTTTTATTGGATCCAAATATTTTGTATGAAATCCGACTGCGCCTCTCTATGAAAATAGAAATTATCTCCCACATTTGACCTTTTTTTTTATATAAATTATTTAAGAATTAAATTAATCAAATAAAGATGGAAAGTCGACAAACCATTACAAAAAATTCAAATTTCCAAATTATACAAATAATTCTTTCGTACCTCAATTCATCGAAATTAGTTCATATCAAAAACTTTATTTTCATTCTAGTAATATATAATTATGGAGATATTTTATTAAGAAAACTTTTGATTCAAGGTCCTAGCCGTACTTTGTTTGATTTCTATCGAAAAATTACTGGTATTTTATTGAAAGCGGCAAAGAAAGCTCCGGGAGCTGGAAACAAAATACAAGCCGAACTTGATAAAACTATTAAAGAATTAGAAGAAAAAATTGCTCCTAAGAAACCGGGCGAACCCAGATATTTGTCATTACCAGATATTGGATTTGATTCAAAGAAATTAAAGCAAGAATTAAAAAGGTTTTTACATATAACATGCAAATAAAAAAATAAAAATATTCTTTTAAAAATAATGATGATAATTATGATTGCTTGTTTAATAGGTATCAGGAAATGTCATCACATGTAAAATGGAAGGATGGGCGTGTGTCAGGAGCAATATATCATGGTGGACAAGAATTGTCAAAATTGACATCTGAAGCATATTCAATGTTTTCTGTTAGCAACCAATTACACCCCGATGTATTTCCCGGAGTACGTAAAATGGATGCTGAAGTAGTCGCTATGGTATTAAACATGTATAATGCACCACCAGAAGCAGCTGGTACAACCACATCTGGAGGTACTGAAAGCATATTAATGGCATGTAAAGCTTATAGAGATTGGGCAAGAGAAGTAAAAGGAATTACAAGCCCTGAAATGTAAAAAAATCAAAAATTATTTAAATTATTTGTTTTTTTAAAACATATATTGATTAATTTATTGACCCATTTTTAATATAATAGTGTTGTTCCGGATACAATTCATGCAGCTTTTGATAAAGCAGCTTCATATTTCAATATTAAACTTGTACACATACCAATTGATCATATAACATGTAGAGTAGATACTAAAGCACTTGGTAGAGCAATCAATAAAAATACAATAATGGTAAGGCATTAATATTAACATTAGGATTACTCTATTGGCCGACAAAGTTTATAATTAAATAATCGATCAATCAATCAATTAAATTGTAAAAAAGATTGCAGGATCAGCACCAAATTTTCCTCATGGAATTATGGATGACATTCCTTCATTAGCGTCAATAGCAAAAAAATATGATATTGGAATGCATGTAGATTGTTGTTTAGGAAGTTTTCTGGTGCCATTTTTAGAAGAGGCAGGATTTCCAGCTCAACCTTTTGATTTTAGAATCGATGGAGTAACTTCGATTTCATGTGATACTCATAAGGTATTATCACTATTAATTTTTTTGAATAGATAGATTCTTTCGCATTTAATTTTTTAAAAAAAGCAACCATGAAACTTAATTAAAAAACTATTTTTTTAAAAAAAAATTATATATATAAAATATTTACAAAAAAAATAGTTTTTAATTTAATTTTTTTATATATTTATAGTATGGATTTGCACCAAAAGGTTCTTCAGTAATTATGTATCGATCAAAGAAACTTCGTAAATTTCAATATTTCTTTGCACCCGACTGGACGGGTGGGATTTATTGTTCGCCTTCAATTGCAGGTTCACGGTAAAATCTAATATTTCTAATATATTTATATAATTATAATATCATTATAATCATAATTGTCATTTTTTTTTATAGTCCGGGAGCATTGATTGCGGGATGTTGGGCTACATTGATGAGTATAGGTAAATACGGTTATATCGATGCAACTAAAAAAATTGTAGGATGTGCTAAAAAAATTGAAGCTGGGTATGTGTTATATTTACATTAATATTTATTCTATGAAAACCAAATTTAGTCAATCAATTAATACATGCGTGATTAATGGACATGTATATACACATCATCATATATATGTAGTATACGTAAATCAAAAGATCTTTTCGTTTATGGAAAACCACTTGTATCAGTTGTAGCATTTGGATCTAAGACATTGAACGTTTACGAGATTAATGATCAAATGTCAAAGAAAGGCTGGAATCTTAACGCATTGCAAAATCCACCAGCAGTACATATCGCTTGTACGCTATTAACTGTACCTCACGCAGAACAATTTTTAAATGACCTTGAAGATTCAATCAACGAAATTAAATCTACCACGAATAATAATAAAAAATTATCGGGAACTGCTGCCATTTATGGGATGGCTGCTAGTTTGCCCGATGGTTCAATTGTTAATGAGGTTGCTTGTGGTTTTTTGGATGCTTTGTATTCTGCTTAAAGAGGAAGAAAAAAAATCATGTGTATTTAATGATAAAAGTAATAATAATTAATAATTATTAAAGTTTTTGTTATTTTATTTTTTCAATTTTTTTTTTTTTTTTATTTAAAATAACTTAAAAAAATAAAACATATTAATATATAAAAAAAAAATCGAAGTTATTTAAAAGAGAAAATTCATAAAAAAATAATTTACATGAATTTTAAATTTTTAAAATCAATATTTTTTTATTTTAATTTTCACCAAATATCATAAAAAAATAATAATAAAATTTTTATTTTATTTTCCTTTTATAATATCATAAGAACTTTATTTATAATTGTCATGATCATAATTATCACCATTATTCTAATTGACTAATTCCTAGTAATAAACGTCAAAGCTAAATAAAATTCACTTAATTGGCTTAAAAAATTGGTTTATTAGTCATGCGGTGACATAATACTATTAAGAGAATGCTGATTACTATTAGTAGAAGTATTGCTGGGTGGAGGTGGGGGAGAATTAGCCCTATTTGATTCATTAACATGGTGATGATGTTGTTGCGATGATGGAGACACTAATGGAGGAGGGGATGAACGTTGTGTAGGCGGAGGTGGTAATTGTGAAAGTGATGAAGGTGGGGGTGGAGAACTAGATACTCTTAAATCACCACTACCACTACGATGATGATGATGATTATGATGATGATTAAGATGATGGTTTGTATTATTATTATTATTGTTATTATTATTATTATTGTTGTTGTTGTTGTTGTTATTATTATTACTACTAGAAGAAGAGCTTTGTTGTGATGGTTGAGTTGGTGAAGGGCTTGGTGAATTTGATCTGTTTGGTTCACGTATGTGAGGAGACGAAGATCCCATTGAAGAAGTAGTATTGGAAGCAGTAGTAGGAGGTGGCAAATTTTGTTGTTGTTGTTGAGATTGTGGGGGATGTGGAGGCGGAGATATAGATATGGCAGAGTCACGAATATGATGATGATGCTGATGATGCTGCTGATGATGCGATGAAGATGATGGAGACACCAATGAGGGAGATGATGGTCTTTGTATTGGAGGCGGCAATTGTGTTGGTGGTGGAGAATTAGATCTTGTTGAGTCACGAATATGAGTTGATATTGGAGGTATTAACGGAGTGGGTTGAGTTGGTGTTGGTGAAAGGGCTAAAGGTGGTGGTGTATTAGATCTTGTTGAATCATGAATATGATGATGGTGATGATGATTCGATGAAGGTTGTTGTGGTGTTAGTGGATTGGTATTATTAGAATTAGTAACATTGTTGGAAGAATTAGTATTCAAAGTAAGTTGTGTTGAAGGTGGAGATAATGCATAATGACTGGTTGGACTTCTTCTGCTGCTACTGTTGTTATTATTATTGTTGTTGTTGCTGTTGTTGTTGTTGTTATTAAGGTTACTGGCATTCATCGGTGGCAATTTACGAGACATATCACGTTGGCTAGGACCAACATCATGTAAAGACATAGGATGTTGTGAGATATTATTGTTATTATTGGAAGACGAAGAAGGTGGCGGTGGTGGCGGTGGTTGTTGTCTATTTCCATAACTCGACATTAAAGTTGAAGATGAGGAGCTAGAACCTAATAATGGTCCGGGATTATTTCCAAACATTGAATTAGGATTTGTTTGTTGTTGAAAAGCCTGAGGGTTTATATCCTGAGGAATCGGCGCAGTTGTTTGGCCACCTTGAGTTTGTTGATTTCTAAGCATCTGCAATCTTTGTTTTATATGAGGGTTTGCTGGATCTAATTCAGCAGCTCGCTGATATGCATCCAACGCATCATTTACTTGATTGTTGCACGATTCGTATAATGTGCCAAGATCGTACCATACTTCACTAATGTATGGATTTAAACGAATTGCTCGACTATAAGCATCCAACGCGTCACGATACTTTAAAAAAAAATTCATTCGTAAATTAAAGATCCAAGAAAATTTATCAAATTTAATAAATAATAAATATTTATACTTACTTGATTTATTTGATAGTATAAAACACCAATAGAACACCAAAATGTTGGATTTCTTCCATCACGAAAACTAAATATATAATCAATTTTAAATATATTTAATGATAGTAGTAGTAGTAGTAGTAGTGATGATGATGATGATGATGATGAATACTTACACTGCTTGTTGGTAAGCCTCGTACGCTCTGCCGTATTTTTGTTGAGCCATGTAGCAACGTCCAAGGAAATACCAAGCTTGTGCATCATTGCCATCTACAATTAAAAATAAACAATTACTAATCAATCAATGCCAAATTTTCCAGGTCTATCTTATTTTGACTTAAATGTGATAAATAACCTGACTCTAAAGATCTAGTTAAATAAGAGATTGCCACATCTTGGTTCCTGAAAGGACTTTGTTGATGATATAGCCAACCAAGTTGTTGTAATACTTTTGCGTGGGTAGGATTATCTATTAGAACGCGTTCGTAAGCTTCTTTGGCAGTGGTAAACTTTTTTTTAATTTAAAGATTTTGTTTGATTAATAATATATCTAATATATGTGCATGTATATATGTATACAATATTAGATATAGCTATGATTGCTTGCGTGCCAAGGACTCACGTTTTTTTGTTGTTCATACACATGTCCGATTTGAAACCAAATATCAACTTCTGTCAAAGGTCTTGGCGGATTATTTAAAATATATTTGAAACACTATAAAAGCGGTGCAATGAACATCAATTCACGTGCTCAATAAATAAGTAAAAAAGCTCTTATAAATAAACAATATTTTACTTCTAAACTTTGTTCGTATTTTAGTTGTTGTTTATAAATGATCCCCAATCTAAAATAGATTTCGTTTGCTTTTTCAAATTTAGAATCCATTCTTATAACTTGAGAAAAAGCTTCTTCGGCGTGATCAAGTGAGCCATAACGGTCATAAAGTATTCCTATCCCATACCAGAGTTTAGGTTCCTAATTATACAAATAGCAAAATATGATTAATATTTTTGTTATTATCATGCAAAATAGAAAGGTTGTTAAATCAAAGGTTGAAAAGATTATAATTAAGATAACCTTAGGATTGGGTAAATGATACAATGCTTGTTGGTATGCACCGTATGCCTTTTGTAACTCATCCATCATCAAATAGCAGTGACCTTTATATTATAACATGTAATATTATATGATCGTGCCACATGTTTGTACAACATATGTATTTAATATAATAAAAAATACCTAAAGATCCCCAAATATCACCATTCCTTGCATCAATATTTAAAATTCTTTGAAAATACTCAATAGCCTTTTAACCAATAAATGTAAATTATTTAATTAATAAATAGATTTATAAAATATGAATACTTATATTTGATGCATATCTCTTTAATGTATAAATATTATACATGTAATATAAATTCATTTTACCCTTGGAAACTGTTCTCTTCCCCGACAAAGTGAGGCAATACCCTGTAAAGCAGTAATAGAATAAGCATTATGTCGCAAGGCTGATTCATACGCACTCATTGCTCTATCATATTCTTGCAACAATTCGGCAGCAGCACCTAAAGAAAAATTTAGACCCTATTTATTTATCACTTTAAACAAAAAAAAGCCATAATAATGATACGTTTCAAACGCTTTTTTAAAGTGTGGTTTATTATATTTACCCATCGCAAGCCATGCTGATTCATTTAATTGATTTAACTTTTGAATACAAGGCAATGAATTGTTGTTAGACATTTATAAATACTCGAGATCTTTTGCAAAATTAATATGTTTTATTTATATTGTTTTGAAAATATTTGATATAAAGCAACTATCGATTGCGGTTAATGATAACGGTTATTGACCGGCAGCAGCTATTAACACTAAAGAAACTGACAAAAAGATTTATTAACGACAAGAAAAAAAAATATATTATGTACAAGAGAAAGGGTGTGTATATGTATAAAATGAATAAAGGGGTAATATGTAAAAAAAAAATTTTTTGAAATTTTATTTAAAAATTTGGGAAATTTTACCAGTAACAATTGATTGCTACAAAGTTTGCTTATCAAAAAAGTTCATGCGTGCGTCACCCACCACCGCTAGTTTATTTTCAAAAAAAGATAAAAAAAAACGAAGATGATGGTGATTTAAGAAATTTTTATTCCAAGTTATCACACAAAAAATCCAATTTTATTGGATTATGCAAAAGAACGATTTTGATACTAATACTATCATCATCATGAAGCAATAAAAAAAATAGAAATTTCAGGGGCCAAAATTGCTAGACATTATTATTATTGGGGTTTACTACCATATTTCGACTAAATCAATAATAATAATTAATAATAACTTTTTCAAGTCGATTATCTTTTCTTGATTTCATTAATAATGAAGCAATAACATGATACATGATGGTAAACCGAGTCAAAATAAAATCTTTAGCCTTGGATGAATCTAAATTGGTTATCCTATTCCCGAGGAGTTAATTGATGATTAATACTAAGATCTAAGTTAGTTATCAATGGTCAGCCTTCTACATCAAGCGAATCTAAATGTGAACAATCAATCTTTTGCTTTAATTTTGCAATGAATAAATATAATTTGAGCCTCCAGCTACTTAAACTCATGACAGCAGGAAAATTGCAAGATCCCCAACTCTGGCGCAAAAATTTTTCAATAGGAGTAAAGGAGGCAGTCAAAACATCTAATATTGGACATTAGCCAAGATTTAGAAAGTTTATTTCAGTATAATTAAACTGCAAGGATTTTTAACTCGGGATAATTTGTTACATCAAGACTTAAACACAATCTTACAATTTAGGAAAACTATTTCAACCTGGTCAATACTGACAAAGTTATTACCTCGAATATTCAAGACTTCTCGCAAATCAAGATGCTCTTCAAGATTTTTCTGAACGAAATTCAATTTGGTAATATTTGCGCTTTTTTTTTCATAGGCATATTCCTATTGACTAAGCAAATCGTTCAGTAGCATCTTTTTTCTCTTTGATATTACCTGTGTTATTTTGGTCACTATCATTTTTAGATGGTGGTTGAGACGGTTTGTTATATTCTTCAAAATATCAAACATTTTTTAACCTTGAAGTAGCAGTGAAAACTATTCATTACCATTTAAAACATATTGGCAAGGTTAACGGGACTGTTGGACGAACCAGATTCTTATAATGTAGAAATAAAAATAAAGGCGAGAAATTTTTAAAGCTCATTCAAATATTTTAAAAGCAGTGTCCTCATATTTTAATGCAGCGTTATCAATAATTGGACTAAGAAAGATCTAAGAATAATAACAATGATGATGGAGTTCTTTTGTCGTAAGCGATTAACTTTTTTCATTGTTGAATAATTTGATTATTGTTTTATTATTCATCTACCCGAAAAACAAATAATTTTCTTTATTTTTATATAAGGTATATATATATATATGTGTGTGTGTGTGTGTGTACAATGGGGTTATTAATAGAAAATCTAAATGCAAATGAAATTTTGATGAATGGATTGATGACTTGCAAGAATAGTATATTACAGATGAAGGATGAATCAAGAAAATTTTCATCAAATAATCGTTTATCATTTAGTATTCTTTATGATTATTCTAAGGGAATGATTTATGGAAAGCGGAGAATTAATTACAAATTCTCTTGTTGTTAATAATATTGAAAAAGATGACGAGTAAGAAAAAAAAAAGAGAAAATTGTATTAATTGAAAAATCATTACTTTTATATTCATACCATATTAAAGAAAAGATGATTGGAATTAAAAAGAAATTGATGTGTGGAGTTATGTTATCAACGGGGGAATAGAACAAATCAAAGAAAAAGAAAATAATAATAAGATTCTATTTGAAAATTTCAACCATATAAAGAATTACTTGATAAAGAAACTATGAAAAGCTTCTTCAATATCATCTTGATGATGAATGGCAACAAAAAATTTATCATTGTCATTTCCTCAACAACAACAAAATGGTCAAAGAAAACTCATTAAGTTTTAGATTGATGAAATATAAAAACATATCATATAAATTTGAATTGATGGCTTATGGAAACCATGAGTTTTCGAAGAAACATGTCATAATGATTTATTTTTAAAGAAATTAAGGAAACACTTGAGTTGGTTAGAGGTTATAATCCTGCTTGTTGGAATTTAAAGGAAAAATCGCCATACGATTATTATTGGATTGAAACAAATAAAGTTTTATTTTTAAAAGCGTAAGTAATAAATAATAATATCATTAATAATAAAACCGATCAATGATAATTTAAGTATCCTCAAAGAGCAGTACGTCATAATAGTGAAAAGTTTCATGATGTCTTCTGTCACTATTTTCATTTTATCAAAAAGATTTAAACATTGATGATGAAGAATGATTGATGAAATCTATAAATTATATCTAAAAAGATATAGTACTTTATTAAATTTATAAAATAAATAAATATGATATAATAAATAAACGTTGAATAAAGATGATGAATAAATAATGAGTAATAAATGATAAGTCTCACTACCACCATCAACATCGCCCTCAAATATATAAGTAAAGGCTTTTTGAGGACAAATAAAAACCCAATGCTTTCTTTATAGTACATAGGTTGAGAAATATCTTTAATACTAATTCCTACGCTACCAGTGCAAACCCAATTTCCATTATTCTTAAAGCACAGCATGTTATATTAATAGTTGATATTTGCAAACTGCTTTTACATTCACATTTACTGGTAACACGCGTGAATCATTACTATAACAAAACTTGAAGCCTCTAAGCCAGGCAAAATATCTACTGCAAGATTAGCCGGTGTAGTATCTCCTACAATTCCTCCACGCCAATTGTGACACAAAACTTATATTACCAACGTTGTTGCAAAACACGTAAAAGCACATTTATCGCAACAAAATAACTGTTTGTCGGGTATAGTGTTAGTAATTTAACCACAGTGTTATAAAAACCTACCATCCTAACATAAACATGTACTAAAATCCGGACCTCCTTGCACTGAGAAGGAATAAAGCGAAATAAAAAGGAATAAAACCAAAACTTTCTTTTTTGTATAATGGGAGTGGATTCCATGCATGAAATTATTTTAGCTAAATATAAAGTTACCAAGAAATTAGGCAAGGAAGTGAAAAGGATTAAAGATAAAGGTAAGAAATGTATTTTCTTTTTAGAAAGAAAGGATGATAAACAAACCCTTCTTTCTTCAGAGAATAGCTATTTTTAGAAAAATAAAAAAAAAAAGTTTCTTTGGGAGAAACTAGTGCAAATTTAAGAGATAAGAATCAATTATTTAGTTTATTACGGCCGAAAAATAAGCAACTCGTAAGAAAGTATTGTGAGTTCCAAATTTTCAGATGTGAAAGTTTTGATTCTTTTATATACACAGGAAAAAAAAAAACGAATACTAAAGAATTTAATTGATTTCAATATTATTATTATAATTAACTATTTAGAGAGAGGATCAAAAGAATTTCACGTCATAAAGTTCTTTTTTTCGGGTTAATATTCTCTTTTTTTTTTTTTTTCACTCCACCTTCAATCCTTCCCTTCTTATATAAAATTCCTTTAATATGTTGCGCACTGTTCTAATCGATTTAATTAGTTTCACGAAGCTTGAAGCATTATTTCAAATCATCGATCATCAATCAATAGCATATTTCAGTGTTGATATTTGAGTGTTTTGGCCGATTTTGCTGCCTGGCCATTTTGACCATTTTTTTATTTGTTAATTTACTTATTTGGTTATATATTGTTATCGATGATCTGAGCCAATTAATGAACCACTTTATTGATGTTAGTATATCCAAAAGATATTCAACAACCAAATTAATAAATTATTATAAAATATAAAGCAACCTATATAATATACTTGAGGTACTACATAAAATCACAATAATATTGAAAACCAGTTCAATAATTTTATTTATTAATAACCTTTATGCTTGGCTATAGATAACAATACAGTTTTATCTTAAATATATCTAAAATAAGACAATAATAATAATAATAATTTTTCTTTTATCAAATAATTGATAATTGTTGCCTAGTTCGTGGTTCATTTCTCAAGTAAACAGAATGACGTGCAGAAGGCTTATAATTATTCACTCCATCTTCACGAAATAACTACAATTAGAATCCAAATCTGTATCTCTCCAACTTACCTCACTATCGTTATCATTATCACTTGATTAGTCATCGCTTTCATTAATCACTTTCATTAATTGGTTCATCATCACTTTCATTACTTGATTCGTTATCATTTAATTATCATAAAGAACAACTTTTAAATAATCTTTTTTTCCTCCTCAAAAGCAAGTTATTTAAATGGTTTTTCCTTTTTGTAATAAGTGGCGGCATACTCGGGTACAAAGAAGGAATAAATGATCTAAATTTAATTAATGTGTGTAACATTGGTAAAATTCAGGTCAATCACATTTTCGTATCACCAAAACCCGCAAGTCGTACGACTTTTGTGCAGGTTTTTGCCGATTGTCTAGCCGTGCCTGGTTTTTTGGTTTTTGGAACAATCAATGTTTTCACCATATTTTAGCAAAAATTTGTTGTATATACGGCAAATGTTTTATTTTACAAACAAGCTCACAACTGAGAACATAATGCGAGTTTTTGCTTTTCGTGATACAAATCACGCACACTGTTCTACGCGAGAACAAAACTTCATTTATTTTTTAAAGTTGTGTTTGGGATGCATCTTCTTCATCGCAAAGAACAAAAAAATGACATTACTCGGGTCAAGACAGTAGTCTATTTTATTAAATCCAAAACATATAAATAGGACAGCCGTCCTCACTTTTTTTTTTTGAAAAACTTTGAATATTTTCATGAAACAAAATCGGATCTTAATCTTTATTATCATCTCAAAAAATGATGTTTCATTGTTGTTGTTTGCTACTTGTTGTTATAATAATAATTTTTTCTCATAATTGATGGATCTTCATATATTATATAGGCGGGTTTGATTGAAGTAAGTGTTAAAGTCGAGATCTATGAAGCTGTTTGTAAAATATATTTAATGATCGCTTTATCAATTATTAAATAACCATATAGGTGGGTTTGATCGAAGTAAGTGTTAGACAAGATCTATGAAGTTTGCAAAACGAATGTTTATCAATTATTCAATAATCATATAGGCAGGTGTGATCGAAGTAAGTGTTAAAATCGGGATTTACGAAGCTGTTTGTAAAATATATTTAATGAACGCTTTATCAATTATTAAATAATCATATAGGTGGGTTTGATCAAAGTAAGTGTCAGTCAAGATCTGTGAAGCTTTCAAAACAAATGTTTATCAATTATTCAATAATAATATAGATGGGTTTAATTGAAGTAAGTGTTAAAGTCAAGGTCTTTGAACTTGTAAATTGAGTTTGCAAAATGAACGTTTTATCAATTATTCAACAATTATATGGGCGAGTTTGGTCAAAATAAGTGTTAAAGTCAAGATTTACGAAGCTTGCAATCCAGCTTTGGAAATGGCTGTATATACGGGATCAAAGCATTCAATTCAATTGTCAATTTAATTAGACATACAACGCTTTATTTTTAGCAATAATAATCAATTTAATTGTCAATTAATTAAGAAGTAACCGAATAATAAATTCAATTGTAAAAATGCGCAATGCTTTTCTTAAAAGTAAACAAATCAATGAATCCAAAAAAAATCAGATAAATGATAATTCGTAAATTGTAAAATGTTTTTTAGCATTTTTAGTAATAGACAAATAATTCAATTGTCAATTACAATTTTCTTGGATCATTGAAACGAGATTTGTTGCAAATTAACGATTTTAAGTTTCTCGCCGATTTATCCAGTATTAAATCACCTCTTTCTCCCTTCAAAGGATAATCACCAGCACTCTTTCATAATGTTGAATAGGCTAGTTTGTGAAGGAATTATTCTCTTGTTTTCTCCACCAGCACCAGAATGAAAATGTTCATTTTTAATAAATACGAATTAAGATCTTTTTTTTCACTGATATCTAAGTTAGAAATCAATTGGTCTTCAAAGCACCTTTATCCTTGTTTTGATTGTTGGTAGATTTGCCATATTTGTTGGTTGGGGATCCTTTTGTGTCATATATTTGTCTAATAATTCGACATTAATCGCATTGCCAGATTGTTACTAATACTAATATGAAGTTTTCGGTAATCTTGCTACTTCGCTACCAAATCAGGGAATATTTGTAATTCATCATTGTTTGTCATTCTAATTATATTTTCACAGTTTTTTTCCACGACAAGAAAATGAAACCATTTTGTCATAATTCTTGAAATATACATAACAATTAAAAAATAAATTTCATTAATAATTATTTGCAATCAACCCATTTATGTAATTTTTGTAATTACCAAAGTTCTTACAGGCGTATCTTCATTATTTTACACCTTCTACTTTTATTATGACAATGTCTTGCTTTTTCCAATGCTTTCGAATAATTACAAACCCCAAAATATTTTATCAATAACTAAACATGGTTTTTCTTTTTCTTTGCCAGAATCAAGGCTCATCACCATTTAAAAGTTCAATATTTTTTGGATGAATCAAGTAGAATATCAATGTAAAGATATAACTTTGGATGATTATTTATGTTTTATTAATTAAAATTACATAGGTAAAATCAACAAATCGTACATTTATCAAGTACTTTAAGCAATTCATTGAGAGAACCGATTAAGAATGTATAAAAATTTTGAATAGATTTATGACATAAAAAAGAGGAGCTGTGTTAATCAACCCTTTTATAATTTTATTGGTTGGTTGGTTTTCTTTTGATACGTCGGAGTATAGAATTGATCTTTGATAGATGCGGTAAAACAATTAATTTAGGAGTGATAAGTGTACAAGTATTTGATTATATAGTCAACCAATTCGCCTTTTCAAACACCAAAGGTTCTAAGATATAAAAAGGTTGTGTTTTTTAAAATAAAATTATTATTTATTTTTCTCGTTTATCGGCTTTAAACTAAATTCGCGTACATCATTAATGATCGATTATTAATTAGTAAAATCTTAATAGAATATATATATATCTAATAATAATTAATACAAGTGTATAACTGTACCACTTTATAATGTGAAGGCTTGTATTCCATAAAACTCGTCCCTACAATATTTGTAGCAAACGTCATTAATTATATAGTTACTTTTACTAGATGAGAAATACAGCGAAGCAGCTACTCTCGTCTTACAATTGATGTAGTAAGCATAAATAACAGAACATCCGTCTGTCACAGCAACATTCAACAAGGATTGCTTCTTAATATTTAGTCAGATGATTAAGATGTGTGATAAATGGAGACATCGAATATAATAATTTATTTATACATTAATTTCTTCTTCAGCTCAAATAATTAATCATTGAATAGTTTTCAAGGTTGCATCTTTCAAAATATTTCATGGTTAAATGGTCCATTCTTTGTATCTGTTAACTATCATCGTCGTCCTCAGTTTGTTGCTGTTATAATAATAAATTAATAAGTATGGGTTTTGGTAATTGGAGAATTCGTTTGTTCACAATCTCCTATCACCCTTTACTCCACCTTAATGATGTTTGACGAAATGCTACCAAAGGTTGTAAAACTATTATGTCAAATTAAATCAAAATGATGCAAGTAAAATTGCTTTAAATGCTAATAATAAAACATAAAAACTCACAAAAAAATTTATAAATATGTATTCCTTTTGTTTCATCAGTTGTTCCCAAGAGCTAAGCCTTTCTTTTACTTAATACAATTCAGTTCCCACACACTCATCTACTACTAAACTCGAACATTTATTATTATATTAGTATTAATAACGCGATACATAATCGGGGTAGATAAAATCATCGGTACTTTATGCTCCAGGGTCAACTAATTTTAGTGTATAATTTACGCAAAAGCTTTTTGTATAATATCAACAATATTGATCAAGTTACTTTGCAATTATAAACCTTTAATTTTCCATTTTTATATTTATCCTTCCTTATTGCAGTGATCAACGAAGAATAACTTCTGGTCCTTGCAGAGGAAAATAATAGATAGTCAACGTTCTGATAAAATAAAACAATGATAGAATCATTATTTTTATTAAACGTTAATAAGCTTTTAAAAATAACATGATTAGTTAAGACTAAAGTTGGTTAACTAGTGGATGTTAATGAAGCATCGTCCGAAGGTTAATCGGAATACTTGTAGTATTATTGTAATTGTAAATGTAAGTCTGTTAAACAAGCTACTTAAGTTTTACAAAGCGAGTTTGCAATCAGCCAATAAATATAAACGAATAAACCAATCACAAGTAAATATAGAAGCCCTGAGCTTTGTAAAAGGGCATCTTTATTTATTTACAATTATCTGGTGCCATTGAGTGCGCTCACAGACTCGTCCAGGTGCAAAAGGGAGAAAACTAAAGTAAATTTGTAAACTGATTAATTGACAAGCACCGAATTATTTGCAAATAACTAACAAGAATAGCCAAAGTTATTAATCAACTGAAATGATATCACAATTTAACAAGACTCAAAAGATTTATTATTTCAAAACATTATTATAATTTAGCTTTAAAGAAACAAAATAAGGATAAAATAAAAAAGATAAATAAAGAGATAACGAATAAATTTATAGTGGAGATTAAATTATTCGTTGATTCTCTTCTTTTACTATTGTTACTAGAATTTAATGTTTATTGATTGATTAATTAATATTGTTAGTAATGGATAGTAATTTCCAATTAATTAATTAATAATGAAATTTTTATTCACCTTTGTTAACATTTAGAAAAAAGAGTTACAATCAAGATTATTTAATGAACTATTACTTGTATAACTTTTAAAGTCTTTAGATTTAGCAATCTCTTCATCCAATATTCTACTTGTATGATATGCACCTGGATGTGATTTGTATACTTGTTGCAAAGTACTACTACCACTACTAGTAGTATTACTATTACTTTCAAAAACTTCATTACGTTTATTATCAGCAAAATCATAAAGCTCTCTACTAGTTGGTCTTTTTGATGGATCCACATCCCAACACCTCTGCATCATTTGCATATAATCATCAGGCATTACAGGTAATATTGGTGGTCGTAAACCTTCACATATATCAAAAATTAAACGATGATTGTGAGCTCTATCATCAAATGGTGGATGACCTGCAAATATTTCCCACATTAACATCCCAACACTATAGATATCTGATTCTTTGGTGTTCTTTTTGCCTCTAAGTACTTCAGGTGCAACATATGATACAATTCCATAGACTTTATTTGATGATTTTTCATCAACTGGTCCACATAATCCCAAATCTGTAATAAAACATCTACCTGCTTGCACAAGTATATTACCACTATGTAAATCACAATGAATTAAATCTTTTTCATGTATATCATTTAATCCATAACACAAACAACAAATGATTGTAATTCTGTCTTTTAATGTTAAATTTAAATGGTTTTTTTGTAAATAACCCCTTAAATTTCCTTCTGATTGATAATTCAAAACTATTGCAAAATTTCCATTATCTGGGACTTGAGTTATACCAAGGCAAGGAGTAACCAGTGGTGTCCTAACTTTACAATAATTCATTGCCTACTGGATATAAAATCAATTAGTATTATATAATGCAGTATTGTTTATTTTGTTTTAAATGACAACTACTAACCTCATCAAAAAATGCTTTTCCTGGATTATTTGAATCATTTAAACTTTTTAATACTACTATTTTGCCCTCCAAAATAACTAAATTCCTTTTTATTTTCGTCATAATCAATAATACCTCCTCTTGTCCACACAGCTTTATAAATTGAACTAAATCCACCTTCCGTCAACTTTGTAATATCTTCAAATTGCTCAAAAGGTATCCATTCTATAATATATTTTGGCAGAGATGATTTCATTTGACATTGTTGAATAAAATTATCAACTATGTTATTTCCAGATGTCCAAGTGGTGAAAAGACTCTGTAAATGTAAACTGATACAACCTTCACAGAATCTATCAGAGTATTTTGTCAATTTACACTTGTTACATTCTTTTGGTTTGCCCAATTTATCTCTTGCATTTCTTAATTCAAAGTCATAAATAAAATCTTGCTTACAATATTCTTTTTCATTTTCAGAAAGCTCCTTGTTTTTTTCAACTAATGAAAAAAAATAGTCTTTTCTACCACCAGAATTAACATTAGCATTATTATACATTTCATTGTTGGTTTTTATTACAAACTCCGCCCTTTTTGATGATAACGATGATAATAATATATCATGTGACATTATATAAAAATATAAAATATAAAACTTTGACTTGTTGTTTAATGAATGAGAGAATGACGGTTATATTATTTTTTTTTTCTTTGCAGACGTGTAACCAACAATTATTTTCGTACAACATTTTTTTAAATTGAACAAATTTCACTGTCACCAAACTCTCGTGATCGATTTATCAATAAAATAAATTCTTTGAAAATTTGAAAGTGATAAAAATAGAAAAAAAAATTAAAACTTACAAAAATATGTACAAAAACTGTCTTATGTGCTATGTAAAGGTTGTTCTAAGTATATACCAATATTAATCAACTTATGTTGCTTCAAACCCAGACACTAAAAGCAGCTCAAGCGCATTATTATTGCGTATTACTAGTATTACATGTAATTTTGTAGTTAATAAATTTAACAGACGCATGTAAAGACAATTTGATTTTTTACATTTTATGTAATAATAAAAGTTTAATTTGTAAAAAAGGAGAGGCCTTTTTATTTTGAAAGAAAATATACGGAAAAAAAGTTAAGTAATTTAATTAAGTAAAATTTCTAATTCAAATTATAACTTTCCATGATAATTATTCTTGCATCATTGCAATATACATACAATGATATAATAATTCTTTAATCATCCCCAGGATACCAATTTTTACATATTTTGGAACTTTTGATTATTATATTTTATCATTATCATTATTGCTGCTTGTATCACGTATCAAGAGTTTTACTTACGTCAAGTACGTCAAGTGGTTTTAATTACGTCAAGTGCTTTTACTTTACTCAAATCGTCAAAATGGCCTTGATGAAAAACTACCTTTAGTCAATACTTTAGACACATCAACGACTAAAGTCAAAAGTTTTGTCATGCATCATTACAACAACACTGACAACAACTTGCTATAAAACCTCAAGCAATACAAAACTTTACAATTTCGCATCCTACTGTTTGGAGACACATGAAAAAAAAAATCATTACAAAAGTTCCATGCCCATTGGAACACCCATGTTGAAATCACATCATATTGAAACAAGAATGGCATGGACGCAAATACACATTTTTACCGATGAAACAGCATTTGTTTTATTAAATTAATTTTTAGATGGTATACAATTTTTTTTTCTTCGGTTTTATACAAGTATCAACATCATGAAAAAAATGGTATATATTATCAATGATCCTGATGAATTGGTAAAAACCTAAAATTTTATTTGTGTCGCAATTTTTTTGTATAAAAATTATGAGTTTTTCAAAATTAATACTGTTACTATTGTTTTTTTTTACCCGAAATAGTATGAAAATTTCCCCGCATTTATAATATCGATATTGCTCATAATGCTTTGCAAAGGAATACATCCATCACTCCATATTTCTATTCCACATACAACATGTTCAAAGAAACTTGACTATTAAGTTTTTTTATTATACTCAAGGAAAACTGGCCCAAGTCCAAGCTCAATAACAATGACCTGGGATTGTTTAAACTTTACATGATGAAAGAATATTGACAGAATTGATCAGACAATTCGAGATCTAAATGGTCTTATTGATAAAACTACATATTACAATTCATCATATATATGTCTTTCTCTGACTCTCTCCCTCATAAAATTAATCACTTTTACCATTATTTAGACCATCCCACAAATTTGCCAAAATATGACAGAAATAAATTTAAAAGCAAAAGCTTTGGATATTTTTCGAAATTCTAAAAATACTATCTATAGTATGTTTTTGGAACCCATTTCTAAAGCACTTCACATACCACAGGACTTGACTTATGGAAGATCCTCATTACCACCTTCTCCTCATGAACAAACAATTTGTTCACCACCATACATTTACATACATCATAACATCATATTTTCCTCTTCCGCTTCACCAATATTAAATAATAAAAGCACAACAAAGCATTTCATACATTATCAAACATGAAAACTACCAACCACCATTACAAAGGACAACGAAACAATGACATAATCATTGTCCATGGCCTGAATGATTATGGAGATAGACTTTCTGAGCATATTAAACCAATCTTGGAAAAAGGCCTTTACCAAATTTTGGAAGATCAAGGGGACTACATTCATATGTAGAAAATTGGCAATCATTGATTGAAGCAACTCATTTGGTTAATCATGTTCGTGAACAAAATTTAGCAGAGAGCATTAATGATGGTGAGGAAGAAGAAGAAGAAGAAAAAGAAGAAGAAGTAGAATTGAGAAGGAATCGGAAAATCGTTTTGGCAGGTGGATGGATCACTTGGTGGAATGGTTATTTTATGTTATGCTATAAAATATCCAGAGACATTTGATTCGTTTGTGGTGATGGCTCCTTTAATTTATATAGATGATAAAGGCAGTCCTAGTAAACTAATTGAAAATATAGCAAAATTTCTTGTTAAAACATCTTTTGAACATCTATCATTTGCCAAAGCCTACCGTGGTAAAAGTAGTAATGGTCCATTACATGAATTTGTAATAATAATATCTTATTTGTTTATTTATATTTTATTGAGGTTAGTTGAGAAGGAAAATATTAATTATATAAATTGGTTAATATGATATAAAGGAAATTTTTATCAGATCCATAAACTTATCATGGAAATCTATGATGTGCAACAGGTTTGTCACTATTAATGTTGTTTGACAAAATGTTACCAAAGTTAAACTTATAAATATGTATTCCAATCTCTCCTTTGTTTCATCAGTCATTCTCAAGGAGCTAAGTCTTTCTTTTACTGAATACAATTCGGTTCCCACACACTCATATACTACTAAACTCAAACATTTCTTATTATACTAAATATTAATAACGTGATACATGATCGGGGTAGATAAAATCATCGATTGGGATTCGGTATTTTATGTTCCAGGGTCAACTAATTTTAGTGTATAATTATTATCAAATGAAAATTTTACGCAAAAGCTTTTTATATAATGTCAATATTGATCAAGTTACTTTGCAATAATAAACCTTTAATTTTCCATTTTTATATTTATCCTTCCTTATTGCAATGATCAACGGAGAGTAATTTCTGGTTCTCCAGGGGAAAATTAACGTAATTTGCTTTAGTGAGTAAGCAAAGGTTAAGACTAAAGTTGGTTAGCTAGTGGGTGTTAATAAAGTACCGTACAAAGGTTAATCGTAGTATTATTGTAATTGTAAATGTTAGTCTGTTAAACAAGCTACTTAAGCTTTTTTTTGCAAGTAAACCAAAGCGAGTTTGCAACCAGCCAATAAAGGTAAATGAATAAATCGATCACAAGTGAATAAAAGGAACTTTATAGAATCCTTGAGCTTTGTAAAAGGGCACCTTTATTTATTTACAATTATCTGGTGCCATTGAGTGTGCGCTCACAGACTCGTCGGATACAAAAGTGAGGAAACTAAAGTAAATTTGTAAACTGATTAATTGACAAGCACCGAATTATTTGCAAGAGTAATCAAAAGTTAAGCCATAATTCTTAATCAACCGAAATGATACCACAATTTAACAAGAGTCAAAAGGTTTATTATTTCAAAACATTATTATAATTTAGCTTTAAGAAACAAGATAATAAAATAAAAAGATAAATAAAAAGATAATGAATAAATTTATAGTGGATATTAAATTAGTCATTCGTCTATTCTTTTCTTTTACTATTGTTACTAGAATTTAATGTTTATTGATTAATAATTAATATTGTTAGTAATGGATAGTAATTTCCAATTAATTAATAATAAAATTAAAATTTTTATTCACCCTTGTTAACATTCTAGAGAAGAGAGTTAAAATCAAGATTATTTAATGAACTATCATTACTTGTATAAATTTTAAAGCTCTTAGATTTAGCAATCTCTTCATCCAATATTCTACTTTTATGATATGCACCTGGATGTGATTTGTGTGCTTGTTGCAAAGCACTACTACCACCACTGCTGCTGTTGCCATCATTATTAAAATCAATTTCATGTTTTTTGATTTTAGAAAATTTGAATAATCTTTTTATTAAACTATTATTTTTTAAGTTCTTATTTGTTAAACTTTTATTTTCAAAAATTTCATTATCATTTTCAAAAATTTCATTATCATTTTTAAAAATTTCAATATTTTTATCTATAGCAAATTTCCGAAACTCTATACTAGTTGGTCTTTTTGATGGATCCACATCCCAACACCTCTGCATCATTTGCACATAATCATCAGGCATTCCAGGTAATATTGGTGGTCGTAAGCCTTTTTCACATATATCAAAAATTAAACAATGATTATGAGCTCTATCATCAAATGGTGGACAACCCGCAAATATTTCCCACATTAACATCCCAACACTATAGATATCTGATTCTTTTGTGTTCTTCATGTTATTGCCTTTAAGTAGCTCGGGTGCAACATATGATACAATTCCATAGACTTTATTTGATGATTTTCCATCAACTGGTCCACATAATCCCAAATCTGTAATATAACAATCACCTTCTTCCATGAGTATATTACCACTATGTAAATCACAATGGATTAAATCTTTTTCATGTATATGATATAATGCATCACATAAATAAACAAAGATTGTAATTCTGTCTTTTAATGTTAGATTTTTTTTCAAATAACCCCTTAAATTTCCACCTGGTACATAATTTAAAACTATTGCATAATTTCCATTATCTGGGAATTTAGTTATACCATAACAATCAACAATCAATTGTGATT